CACAGCTGCCACCAGGTTTATAGGAAATACATCAACACTCGTACCCTTGGATGTTAAATAGGTGGCCTGGTCTCTGTAGCCGTACAATTTGGAGGTTTAAAGGACCAGCAGCTTCTCTGATGAAGTAGCGTGATTCTGTAATATTCACGCCTCAGCCAGAACGGCATCCTTCACTCAAGACCAAATTACTGACAACTTTTCCTGCATTCTCCATCATTTGTGTGTGTTTGGGCGACGTCTTTCACAGACAGACAGCAATTGTAGTACAAATGGCACATTTGCCGACTCAGTGGCAGATTTTGTCCTCTTTCTCCGATCGTCAGCATCAAGCTTTTGTTGTTCTTGCAGATCATTAGGGTTTTTGATTGAAATTTTTATCATTCTTGCATATTGGAACCAAAAGGATTGATTGATCTGCTGACTGGGTAGAACACAAACCCTGCATGTGGCACGGGGACGCAAAAGGTTTTATCAATCCTCAGACTGGTGCACTGCTGGATACAGATCAGGAGCTGTGCATGTGTATGATGCAGTTTTGGTGTTTTAGGCTAGTATGGAGATTGGTGTGCAGTTTTGGTGTTTTAGGCGAGAGTGAATTTCTGGTCGGATCTAAGCTTGCATGTGTGCAGTATTAATGCTGCCACCAGTATTTACAGTTAGAGATTGTGGATAGCCAGGAGTGGATTCCAGACCAACTGTTATCAACACGCTGTCATCTTCCATTTGTACAAGTCACTAACACTGGACCAAGTCTACTGACCAATCCTAGCAAAATCAACAGCGTATATTCCAACAACACTACCACATTAATTCATCCTTGTTTTAGTGTCCTTTTACAATTGTTAGATAAATCTGATTTTTGTTATCGTTTTGAGAAGGTATGACATCAGAGGCGGTTATCTGAAATATGAAGTTTGTTTATTCAGAATTACAAAAGGACAATTTCTGAGATATATAAGAGACTTTAAAAGTGGGAAATCAATGACTGATAGAAATTTCAACATACAACAATAAAGACACTGGGTAACAGTTGATTGAGCATATACATCTGGGTCATTTTACACAGCCATATAAGGAGAAATTTATATAATTTCCACAACTGTTATATATATATAATAGATTTTGATATGACAACAAAATATATGTAGGCATTAGTGTGAAATAAAAAAACAGAAATAATTATTCTGTTTCTATAAAAGAATTCCTGGACAACAATAAAATAAATCATAAAACAAGTGTTTATTATAGGTATTTGATAACGGTGAACATTTTACTGTAATAAATCAGCAGTAATCCACAGAAATATATAAAAAATATTTTTGGACTCTTACATTAAAATGATGGTATCTATTGCGCTGCCATAAATCATCAGGGCTATGTAGGTGTTTGAGCGTCGTAAAGATGAGGTTCAATAAAACATTGTGTAAATTTCAGTACCTGGAGGATAGCAATAGATCACACACAATTTTTAATGACAACATTTATCATTTTATGAACAGGGAAGGGATGATGTTTGATAGATCTCATCATCAGCCGCCATATTGGGTCAATCTCCCTTTCATGTTAATTAGGAGTTTGTGTGGAAACTGATTCTTCCTGGATTTCACTGCATCTGTCATCATTTAGCTTCGCTGACTTTGTACAGGGTATAATTACGCTGACTGGCATTGGCATAAAATATGGTCTAGTCAAATCAGTTATGATAAATACAACATAAAGTATACAGATCTTACCATAAAACACTAACATGGTATTGTCAGTTGATGGGTGACAGTCTGTGTATGGAATTAGGTACAGGGTTTTTAAGGGTTGTTTTGTGTCGGGGTGAGAGTTGTAAAGCTGACAGCTGTGTACGAGCAATAGAGGCGATCCCTCACCAGAGTGACCTTTCTGTGTGGACCACCTTACTATAGTAAAAACATCTCATGTGACAAACAGAAAAGACATCAGTTCCTGCAGCCAGAATTAGGATTGCCATGGTGACGATGAAGTGGGTGTAATATATTCCAGACATATAATTTGTGTCGATATGTACCATATGGTAGCTGTGGTTGTCGCCCTGTCACAAACAGCTGTACTTAGGTGTTAAGGATATATACCTATATAGGTAGACGCTAAGGATATATACCGATATAGGTGGACGCTAAGGATATCTACAGATACAGATGGACGCTACTAAGTATTAAGGATATATATACTGATATAGGTGGACGCTAAGGATATATACAGATATAGGTGGACGCTAAGGATATATACCGATATAGGTGAACGCTAAGGATATATACCAATATAGGTGGACGCTACTAAGTATTAAGGATATATATACTGATATAGGTAGACGCTAAGGATATATACTGAGATAGGTGGACGCTAAGGATATATACAGATATAGGTGGACGCTAAGGATATATACTGATATAGGGGGACGCTAAGGATATATACTGATATAGGTGGATGCTAAGGATATATACTGATATAGGTGGAAGCTAAGGATATATACAGATATAGGTGGACGCTCAGGATATATACTGATATAGGTGGACGCTACTAAGAATTAAGGATATATATACTGATATAGGTGGACGCTAAGGAAATATACTGATATAGGTGGACGCTAATGATATATACAGATATAGTTGGACGCTAACGATATATACTGATATAGGTGGACGCGAAGGATATATACTGATATAGGTGGACGATAAGGATATATACAGATATAGGTGGACGCTAAGGATAAATACCGATATAGGTGAACGCTAAGGATATATACCGATATAGGTGAATGCTAAGGATATATACCAATATAGGTGGACGATACTAAGTATTAAGGATATATATACTGATATAGGTAGACGCTAAGGATATATACTGATATAGGGGGACGCTAAGGATATATACAGATATAGGCGGACGCTAAGGATATATACTGAAATAGGTGGACGCTAAGGATATATACTGCTATAAGAGGACGCTAAGGCTATATACTGATATAGTTGGACGCTAAGGATATATACAGATATAGGCGGACGCTAAGGATATATACTGATATAAGTGGACGCTAAGGATATATACAGATATAAGAGGACGCTAAGGATATATACAGATATAAGAGGACGCTAAGGATATATACAGATATAGGCGGACGCTAAGGATATATACTGATATAGGAGGACGCTAAGGATATATACAGATATAGTTGGACGCTAACGATATATACTGATATAGGTGGACGCGAAGGATATATACTGATATAGGTGGACGATAAGGATATATACAGATATAGGTGGACGCTAAGGATAAATACCGATATAGGTGAACGCTAAGGATATATACCGATATAGGTGAAAGCTAAGGATATATACCAATATAGGTGGACGCTACTAAGAATTAAGGATATATATACTGATATAGGTAGACGCTAAGGATATATACTGATATAGGTGTACGCTAAGAATATATACAGATATAGGTGGACGCTAAAGATATATACTGATATAGGTGGACGCTAAGGATATATACAGATATAAGTGGACGCTAAGGATATATACAGATATAGTTGGACGCTACAACATTTACTATATATGGACTTCCGGAATGTAGAAAGATACGCGATTTTTTTATAAACATTTTGATGTGCAAAATTGAATTCAGAATTGAGTGACAGATTAATATGACTCATTATTTACAAATGTTTATTGACAAATAATGTCACCTCTTTATGGCGAAGCAACTCTCCATATGTGATAATTGATGTGAGTTTGTACAAGCGTATGTGTTAATTAGTGTGGTTCTAAATGAGAATTTTTATAACAGGAGTTACATATACTGCTGATTACCCTGAACCGTTGTGTGGTATAATGTGATGACATGTTTTGATGTTTTAAAGAAAACAAATTTTTACACAATATTTAAGTGACATATTTGTAAAACTTTGTAAGATACTGAAGAACTGCGATTACAATCTGATTTGAGTATAATCAGTTTATACCTGTTTTGCCGTTTCACTGGAGGAGATGGAGGGAATTACAACCTTGGTGGAGATGAGCATTACACCAGTGTTTGTGGTAGTGATGTTAAAAGACACACATATAGTTACTACAGTTAACACCTCCTGAGGGAAACTCCTGTTGCCAAAAGACTGTAACATGCATCGTGTGTGACATCTGGTGTTCAGGTGGGACACACTCGACTCTTTGTAGAAATACCTGTACATGGGGTTTACATGTTTTAATCAACACCTGTGTACCTGCCATCAAATGATCGTTAAAGATTGACGCACCTGACTACATCAGATGCAATACCTGTATAGGACAACACTGTGTATCGAACTTCTATATAAAAAACCAATATCTTGACTATTTAAATAACCACCCAATCTGTTACCGTTACATTTGTTGTTATTGCAATAAGTACTAAATCTCTCTGTCCCAATGCTGAACACTTTAACTGTGTATGTTGACACATCAGTTTATATCATAGCTATGCAAAACTATTTCATCTGCTGAACATTTTCTTTCTGATTGTTTGTACACTGTGATATATATATAGAAACATTTACACCATTCTTAGAGGATTGTATGCATTAATTGGTCAGGAATTAATTTTGATAATATCTATGTAGAGGAATACATGGTGGATGTTTTGACTATATGCACTAAGTTCAACAGTAATAATGAGTGAACCACCATTTAATTGGTTATTGCTTCAAATCCTGCCATCACAATTGTCAATACGATTTCAAGAGAGGTAAAGAGTTGGTAATGCTCAATAAACTTTGCATCCTGTGATATTTGATTTCGAACTCTGATCTATGAGCAAACTTTGCTGGTGACCTCTGATTTGTGACCCTTGAACTGTGACCTCTGACCTGTAATGCCATTCAGACAGATGGCAGGGAGAAGTTTAGATACTTTCCAACATGTGAAGAGTTGGAGCTTTGAGTATGATGTTAATCCAATTTGTCGAACTGAAAAAATCATTCTTCATGCTAATTCTAGGAGTGAGGAACCGGTCAGTTCCAACATGGACATTTCCACAGGACACATTGTGCTGGTCAGTATCATTTTATTTTTTGTTTTTAGTTCGTTAGTAGATATAGATGCTACTTAGGGAAATGAATTGAACAAATTAATTAAATCCTGAGCAATAATGATTGTATTTAAATTAACCAATTTCATAATTGAAAGATTCACAAGATTAAACGTATAAATGTCACTATAGGGTCATTCTTTATATATGTATTACAATAAAGACTACTAGTTAAAATTCAAAGGGAGTCGAGATAACTCTACTACAAATCAAATGTATTTAAGGCACTAATCACCATGTTGATACTTATTTTATCAACTTCATCCTGAAATTTGATAACATAATGTTTTCTAACCGAGATGATATGTGGTATTTTCTATAATTAAGTGCTTGTATTACAGTCCTACATGGAGGATCACCTGAAGAACAATGACCGTTTGGACCGAGAGTGGGAGGGACTAGGAGCCTACGAAGCTGACCCCAACAGTACCAAGGTCGCCAGTGATCCATCCAACCTCCGCAAGAATCGTTACAGCGATGTCCTCCCCTGTAAGTGTTAACAGCATCACAAACATAATAAACATATTACAAGGAAATCCTGTAAATTTTTACATCAGACAAAGTTAAGGTTACAGCGATGTCCTCCCCTGTAAGTATTAACAGCATCAAAAACATAATCAACATATTACAGGGATGTCCTGTAAACGTTTACATCAGACACAGTTAACATTACAGCCTGTAAGTGTTAACAGCATCACAAACATAATCAACATATTACAGGGATGTCCTGTAAATGTTTACATCAGACACAGTTTACATTACAGCCTGTAAGTGTTAACAGCATCACAAACATAATCATCATATTACAGGGATGTCCTGTAAATGTTTACATAAGACACAGTTAACATTACAGCCTGTAAGTGTTAACAGCATCACAAACATAATCATCATATTACAGGGATGTCCTGTAAATGTTTACATAAGACCCAGTTAACATTACAGCCTGTAAGTGTTAACAGCATCACAAACATAATCATCATATTACAGGGATGTCCTGTAAACGTTTACAACAGACAAAGTTAACGTTACAGTGACGTTTTCTGTTTTAGGCGATATTACAGTGGTATCTTATCCTGTATTTATGTTATCACAGGCACAATCAATGTATTACAGCAACATCATTTCCTAAAGATTTTAATGACATCATATTACAGCCGTGTCCTGTGTCCTCCCTTTACTGTGTAAACCTTCATAAGCTTATTACAGCTGTGTCCTCCCTGTACTGTGTAAACCTGCATAGGCTTATTACAGCCATGTCCTCCCTGTACTGTGTAAACCTTCATAAGCTTATTACAGCCGTGTCCTACCTGTACTGAGTAAACCTTCATAAGCTTATTACAGCCTTGTCCTCCCTGTACTGTGTAAACCTTCATAAGCTTATTACAGCCGTGTCCTACCTGTACTGAGTAAACCTTCATAAGCTTATTAAAGCCTTGTCCTCCCTGTACTGTGTAAACCTTCATGAGCTTATTACAGCCGTGTCCTACCTGTACTGTGTAAACCTTCATAAGCTTATTACAGCCTTGTCCTCCCTGTACTGTGTAAACCTTCATAAACTTATTACAGCCATGAAGATGTTTTACAAAAACTATGAACATAATGAACAGTTTTCACCAACTTTCTTCCATGTGATATCTTGTCTTGCACAGAGATCAAGATTAAACAATTCGTAAGAAACAGTGGCACTAGTAACCAGATACAGATGGAGGTAAACTGTTCTCCATCTCTGCAATCTGTTATTTATAAATACTTTCGATCTCGTGGATGTCTGACTTTCAAACTAGCCTAGGAAGATGTTAGAATGTAGCTAGGCAATTATTTACAAAATCTGTATTAAGAGGCTGGTACCCTATCTAAGATGGAGGCGGTGTACAGAATTTTAAGCCCACCATCATCATTCATTGCAATGATCGATTCTATTTCTTTCACATTTATACTGTACTAGTAAATATATGAAATGACAAACTCACTTTGAAGATTGGCTTTCATACACATCAGTATTAAGGTTAGATCAAAAGTTACCTCAAGGTGCATTTACTGTTAACATGACTCGATCAAACAGATTAGAGGAAAGAAGAGAGAAGATCGAACTTACAAAGAACTAATGAAGATGGTGCAATGGTGGGAGCCGAAATCCCTCTGGGATCTCTTTTTCAAATTGTGAAACTATTAAAATGGCCGAACCCTATTTGTGGGTTACCAAGGCAGAGTCTGTATCGATAACCTTGATCCACCTACACATTGAGTAATAACCTCTAGACCTACAGACCGTAACAAGGCTTTCCTATTTGTGAGTTATAACCTGTAGACCTACAGCCCGTAACAAGGCTTTCCTATCTGTGAGTTATACCCTGTAGACCTACAGACCGTAACAAGGCTTTCCTATCTTTGAGTTATAGCCTGTAGACCTACAGACCGTAGCAAGGCTTTCCTATCTGTGAGTTATAACCTGTAGACCTACCTCTGGGATCTCTTTTTCAAATTGTGAAACTATTAGAATGGCCGAACCCTATTTGTGGGTTACCAAGGCAGAGTCTGTATCGATAACCTTGATCCACCTACACATTGAGTAATAACCTCCAGACCTACAGACCGTAACAAGGCTTTCCTATCTTTGAGTTATAGCCTGTAGACCTACAGACCGTAGCAAGGCTTTCCTATCTGTGAGTTATAACCTCTAGACCTACAGACCGTAACAAGGCTTTCCTATCTTTGAGTTATAGCCTGTAGACCTACAGACCGTAGCAAGGCTTTCCTATCTGTGAGTTATAACCTCTAGACCTACAGACCGTAACAAGGCTTTCCTATTTGTGAGCTATAACCTGTAGACCTACAGACCGTAACAAGTCTTTCCTATCTGTGAGTTATAGCCTGTAGACCTACCAACCGTAACAAGGCTTTCCTATCTGTGAGTTATAGCCTGTAGACCTACAGACCGTAGCAACGCTTTCCTATCTGTGAGTTATAACCTGTAGACCTACCTCTGGGATCTCTTTTTCAAATTGTGAAACTATTAAAATGGCCGAACCCTATTTGTGGGTTACCAAGGCAGAGTCTGTATCGATAACCTTGATCCACCTACACATTGAGTAATAACCTCTAGACCTACAGACCGTAACAAGGCTCTCCTATTTGTGAGTTATAACCTGTAGACCTACAGCCCGTAACAAGGCTTTCCTATCTGTGAGTTATACCCTGTAGACCTACCGACCATAACAAGGCTTTCCTATGTGTGAGTTATAACCTGTAGACGTACCGACCGTAACAAGCCTTTCCTATCTGTGAGTTATAACCTGTAGACCTACCGACCATAACAAGGCTTTCCTATCTGTGAGTTATAACCTGTAGACCTACCGACCATAACAAGGCTTTCCTATATGTGAGTTATAACCTGTAGACGTACCGACCGTAACAAGGCTTTCCTATCTGTGAGTTATAACCTGTAGACCTACCGACCATAACAAGTCTTTCCTATATGTGAGTTATAACCTGTAGACGTACCGACCGTAACGAGGCTTTCCTATCTGTGAGTTATAACCTGTAGACGTACCGACCGTAACGAGGCTTTCCTATCTGTGAGTTATAGCCTGTAGACCTACCGACCATAACAAGGCTTTCCTATATGTGAGTTATAACCTGTAGACGTACCGACCGTAACGAGGCTTTCCTATCTGTGAGTTATAGCCTGTAGACCTACCGACCGTAACAAGGCTTTACTATCTGAGAGTTATAACCTGTAGACCTACAGACCGTAACAAGGCTTTCCTATCTGTGAATTATAGCCTGTAGACCTACAGACCGTAACAAGGCTTTCCTTTCTGTGAGTTATAACCTGTAGGCCTACCGACTGTAACAAGGCTTTCCTATCTGTGAGTTATAGCCTGTAGACCTACATACCGTAACAAGGCTTTCCTATCTGTGAGTTATAGCCTGTAGACCTACATACCGTAACAAGGCTTTCCTATCTGTGAGTTATAGGCTGTGGACCTACCGACTGTAACAAGGCTTTCCTATCTGTGAGTTATAGCCTGTAGACCTACATACCGTAACCAGGCTTTCCTATCTGTGAGTTATAGCCTGTAGACCTACATACCGTAACCAGGCTTTCCTATCTGTGAGTTATAGCCTGTAGACCTACAGACTGCAACAAGGCTTTCCTATCTGTGAGTTATAGCCTGTAGACCTACCGACTGTAACGAGGCTTTCCTATCTGTGAGTTATAACCTGTAGACGTACCGACCGTAACGAGGCTTTCCTATCTGTGAGTTATAGCCTGTAGACCTACATACCGTAACCAGGCTTTCCTATCTGTGAGTTATAGCCTGTAGACCTACCGACCGTAACAAGGCTTTACTATCTGAGAGTTATAACCTGTAGACCTACAGACCGTAACAAGGCTTTCCTTTCTGTGAGTTATACCCTGTAGACCTACCGACTGTAACAAGGCTTTCCTATCTGTGAGTTACAACCTGTAGACCTACAGACCGTAGCAAGGCTTTCCTATCTGTGAGTTATAACCTGTAGACCTACAGACCGTAGCAAGGCTTTCCTATCTGCTCCTTCAATTGATTATTTTATCTCATGCATTCAAGATCAGGGAAAATAAAACATGAACTCGCAGAAAAAAACAGGTTCTGTAAAACAATTGTCTAAACACTCTTCTTTATTTGTGTAAGGGTTCTGTGGTCTTCTAGTGTTTTTAATTGTGTGGAATCAATAGCAAAGCCATTAAGCGCTCTACAACAGTGGTTACATTACAAAGTGTAGCCAGATTAAATGCTAATATACACTGCAGACCTGGTCTTTTAACTGTTTTTTACACACTGTCAGTCCTCACCTTGTAATTGTATAGACATTGTCCTCACCTTGTAACTGTATAGACATTGTCCTCACCTTGTAACTGTATAGACATTGTCCTCACCTTGTAACTGTA